TTTTTTTTTTTTTAAATTTGAGGACAATCTAACAGACATTTAAAACGTGGTTCATAAATAAGAGTTTCTTGCAATCAATGTATCATTTATTAACTCTGTCCATGTCACAGTGGCGGGTGCACCGTTAGCTGAATTGGTGTCATGCTAGACTGCGGAACAGATGTCGTTAGTTCGAATCCTCAACAAGATATTTTAAACTTGGGTATGTTTTGGTTTGATTTTTTGTGTGAAGGGGTGGAGGGTGTTAAGGCTTTCCGCTCATTTGGCTCGGTCCTATCGGAGATGGACATCAAATTCGAGGGTCCCTGCTTCTTAAATAACATTACGGTATTGAAAGACCGTTAAACCTATACACTAATCAATAACCCAAACTGTTTCCCCATTGTGCCAGACCAGTGTGTTTTTAAAATGCGGATTGAAGATGTTGATGTGAAAATACATTAGATCGAGCTGACATTATTTCAACCAAAAAAAGATTCCTCATGTTAATTTTATATTTTTCAAGATCATTGCAAAAGAAAAGAGTACAAAAAATACTGTCAGAAAAAAATCATGGACGGGGTATGCACCGAAAAAATATTGTTTTGCAAGACAGATAATACCGTATCATATCAAAACTATTTCGTGAACTGGCTCGGAAAGAGAGTTTTAAAAAACCATACAAGGAGTATCTATCTATCTATCTATCTATCTATCTATCTATCTATATATCTATCTATCTATCTATCTATCTACCTATCTATCTATCTATCTATCTATCTATCTATCTGTCTGTCTGTCTGTCTGTTCATTTATCCATCTATCTATCCATATATTTATCTACCTATCTATCTATCTATCTATCTATCTATCTATCTATCTACAGTCTGTCGTCTGTTTCCTAAACTTAAAAAAGAACCTGATTTATTACAAGTTTATGCAGATATCCTCTGAGCACACAAGTCATTTAAGTAATGTTAAGTAAATGTTGGTAAACCAGGTCAAAGACGGGTTGATTATTCAGCCTTTGCAGACATTAAAATTCATGACAGCCCTGTGACATGGCACAATGTACCCCACTGTGTTTTGGGCGGTCGGCTCATGTAATAAGTGAAATTTTTAAGTCACAGCTGTATAACCTCTGTCTTTGACTCTGTCTCTTCGATAGCACGTCCGTCTGTCTGTTTGTGCTTTTATCAGTCTGCCTGACTGTCTGTCAGTATGTCTATCTATCTAGTTATCTATCTATCTATAATCTATCTGTCTGTCTACCCATCCATAGTTGGGATCTATCTCCACCCCCACCCCGAAATCTCTTCTTCATAGACAATTAGGAAGAAAGATGTATGTAACACCGCCATTTTTTTCTTTTTCAACCCCGGAGGCATTGTTAAATCGTTACATGTGTTATTCAAAAGTGTCTTGGCTTACATTCTCTTTTGTTTTCAAGTTTCTTACAAATATAACGTGAATTTAAAGAATTAATAACTTGTTTATACTGCAGGAAACGTTGATTTTTTACGGTGTTTTAGTAACATAACTGGGAAGGGCGTACTACTTGTAGTTGTAGGTTTAGAATTGAATCTTGTTAGGATAAGTCTGATTGGCCATATTAAAGCAACTATCCGAAAGTTTTGCTTTTGTTTTTGTTATGTTTTGTTTCTTTGTTGTTGTTGTTGTTGTTTGTTTGGGGTTTTTTTGGGGGGTGGGAGTGTTTTGTTTTTCTTTTTGGTGTTTTCAAACACTTTGTAAGAGAAAAAAAATGAACGCTCTGTTTTTTTCGTTAGTTTTGTGTAGGCCTACTGTAGAAACATACAATACGTAATTATGAACAAAGTGTATGTTGCATACCAACACAAGATACATATGCAGAAAATATGCTTTTATTACACATACGCGAATGCGTGCCTTGATACTAACAACACACATCTTTATGGAGGAAGAATTGATTAAATCCACATGACTGTTTTGCAAAGGAGTGTTCACTTTCACTTTAGTATAAAATGTAAAACCTTTTACAAAGAGAATCAATCAACAGGTGAACTCACCTTGATATAAAATACACAACTCCTTTTTTGTGAGAATCAAACGTATCCGTGTGAGTAAAAGAGGCAATGAGACAATACTCAGACCCAATGGAGCGCGTAGGGAAGGCTTTAGTAGAGGAAATAATCTGCTTCTCTATCTAGATCTGTGATGTTTCCAAGTGAAATTCGCTCTCCTCTCCACCCACCCCTCCTCTCTCTCTCTCTCT